GGCGGGACTCGGGGAGATCCACCACAGGGCATCGATCTCCGGAAAGCCTTGTGCTCGTCGAAGAAACACGTTCCAGTTTACGTTCATCGATCGTTCGTCGAGACTGCAAGCAATGGAGAGAGACGAGAAGCGAGTGAAACGGTATACGCTTCAGAGAGACGTTATCAAAGAATACAAGCCTCTCGAGGATCGATTACAACGGCAGATTTCTGCGGGCGACTAGATTACGCGTTGTTCTCTCACGCCATTGCTCGGCCAAGGCTACCTCGAACCGCCTACACGCCCGTTACCGTCGTGCAAATCTTATTTGAATTGGAGATGCCAAGTTTACCCCTTAGCTGGACCCGCGCTGTATAGTCAGCTTAGAGAGGGTGACGATAAGTAGCTTAGGGAGGACGCGTCGACGGATGCACCCTCTTCCTTCATCCATCGTGGATCTGCCTCGATTCTACCGCGGAACCAAGACTGCCGGTGTATTTATGCGGACAGAGACCAACGAGGATTTAAGGCGCATTTCACTGACGGAGACACGAACATGCACAAATAATAGGGTCATCGAGAGACTGCGTAATTTTGTCGGGCGAGATGGTGTTCGAAAATGGTCGGTTTCGAAATAAGTTGATCCGAGGAAAGATTTCTGAAAGGGATTTGCGAGAGGTCAGGTTTAATGGATGATTCGTTAGGAAGAGTACTATAACGGAATTTATTTTGGTAGCCTGTGGGAGATTATTCGGTTAATAATTGATATAGTTTATTAAATATCGTCTGTTGAATAAATGTAGCGATTATACAACTTTGTAACTATTATACCGCAATATAAATGCTTTAATAATGCAAAAGAAGTAAACGATTTAAGCGACTCTTATAGTTTAACGATTTATTTGGAATTCTCGCGCACATCGATCACAAGCTATTCTCGAAGATTTCGCATTATTAGCACGTGTAACTAAATTTACACGTGGCGTTATGCGTGCCGGTCTATGACTATATTGGCGAATCAATATTCATTCACTCGATGACAGTAGCATAAATATTCGCTCAGTGGTTTATTAAAATTTTCGTGCTCGATTATTGAAACTTAAATTATTTTCGTACGCGTTGTTCATCAAGAATTTAATAACTCGACTCTCGGTTAATCCTGGAAAAATGGTGATATTCAACACACCAGAGTCATGATATTAAATTCTTAAACCATACTATCGCTACATGCACAACGCGACTCATCTACCTTGACGTTATTTTCCGGCCGAACGCCGAGGATGAAATTGTTTGAACGCGAGGCTGACTCGGTAAAGAGACGATTAACACGTTTCCGCGAGCAACGAAACAACGTGACAATGGTCACCGAGAATTGGGCTGGTTTCAACAATTCATTTTGCGGGACTAAATTGCCTGCGATATTTCGAAAGCGGACGGGACCACGTTGAATACGCGCGACCCGGCAAAGCCAGGCCGAGCTCGACGTTTAAAACGAGCCTCGCATTCCCTAGAAGCGTGGCGGCACCTGCGCGTGCAACACCTGCCTTTGGCACAGATTGTCAGATTATCTTCACAAGTGGCTCATGAAACCCCGTTTTCTCTCCTCTTCCCTTCACGCTACATTTCGCTCTGTTCGACCACTCGTGGACGTCTGGTTCCTTTCAAAACGTCCCGGAGTGTCGAGAATGCTGAATATGTGCGAATGAGCGCGGAGTAAACGTGGCTGATTTGAAAGAATACGTTTCTGGCAATGCTTCGATTGTTTCTACTTGCTACTGACCTGTTTTTGCTCTTTGCGTGTACTTCCTTCTCGTTTCCCATTTTTTTCTTGGTTAATCGTTTTGCTTACTTGGACATGGAAAAATAATTATCGATGCTGCATATTTTATACGTAGATGTAACGATATTTGATAGCTGACTTGGAAATTTAATATCTAAATATGAAAAACACTCGAGCATTACTCGACGTCTGACTACGTACGAACCGGATCTACGTACAGTGTAAAGTTATCAGAATTTAGGCACTTTTAGATCGCGGTTCTAACTATCGTTTTATAGACGAGTTTTATGCGAATATGGTTGTAAACTCGTTCCTTCGTTTAAAAAGAAAATAAAAACAGAGAAATTGTCCAAAAATTCTCTTTTTCCTTAATACACAATACGGCGAATTAAGAGTACGGTAATTTCTGATTACTAACCGGTGGTCGCAGTCGTGGAATCCTTAAAAGTAGAGAAGCTGGGATTCCACGATGCACATTTGAGGTATCAGAGATCCCACAATTTCCTCCGAAACGAATTACAGGATCCACCGTGCGGCAACGTTGGCGCGCTTCTTTTATTTTTCATTCGTGAAAGAGAATGTAACGATACCATCGGGAACAGAAATAAAGTAACGCGGTATCTGAGGATTTGCTCCATCTGAGAGAAGAATTAATAGAACGAACATTCATCTTTTACCGTGTACCATTCATTTACAACCCCTAGAAACTTTAGTCGTTGGTTTGATCAGTTTAATCGATCGACTTGAAAACTATAAAAAGATTACATTGAAACTATTTTGTTAACTATATTGTATTTAGACTTTCCCTATGTCGTTCTTTTTTTACATTTTTATGATCTTTTAAGATCTTGTGTTCTTCCTCTCGTTGAACCCTTTCGACTTTTGAAAACTTCGAGACTACTTGCCACCCACGTACGATAAAACCAAAAAAAAAAAAATTGCCCTAATCGATAAATAAGCGAAATTCTATCTCTTAAAAATAAGAATTGTCCCAACCGTGTCATAAGCCATGCAGGTGAAGTCTTCGACGCTAGCAAGAAGAAACTTTCGATCGAACCTCTGAAAAGATAAAATCCAGACGCTATAAAAGCCAAAAGAATTAGCATTTTATACGATTGGAAGGCGACACGTCCTCGGCAAAGATACCCTGAAACGGAAGTGCTGTAACGCGTCACGAGGAATCGCTTTCGTTTCCCCAGCTCCACGCTGATCCTTTTAAAAGATTAAAAAAAGACGTTGAAGCCAGGGTAAGAGGATGGTGGCTAGGATTTACCAGCGGGAAAGGTCTTCCTTCTTTTCGTAACTGCTAGCGAGAAGCATAGTCGTCGGGCGTTG